CACTTTGCTATGGAAACTCATTGAGTGCATTAGAGAGGTGAACTGTTGACTTATCAATTTATGTCAGTTGAGTTGATTTATTGGCGCTAATATAAATCAAATGCAATTGTCGTGTTTTTACCTAAATGAATTAACAATAAGTTTGATTTAGCTGATAATGCGTCCCAATTAAATTTTCAAAATAAATTCCAAATATATCTATAAGTTTCAAATTCTATCGTGCTTCTTTAATTCTAGTTTTAAATCTCGATATAGAATAGTGATTTTTAAATTAAAAATAAAAAACTTTTAAACTTTATAAAGACAAATAGATAATATATTTTTTTCGATTAATATACAGATTTCACTGTATTGAAAATTATAATTCAAGATCATTTTATTTTATTAATACATTTTTAATAATACAAATTTCTCCCTCTTGAGAGAAAGATTATCTTTTTAAAAAATCTCAAGTAAATTCAAAAAAATCTTTCATTTAATCTGCGATTAAAATTAAATATAGAACTAAAATGATATCTCACATGTCAAAGATTTATTCTTTTCAAAGCTTTTCATTTTTTAGCGTATATATCACACGAATAATACGAACTCTTTTATCTTTGCTAAATTCGCATCGTGAATTAATAATCAATCATTCTTTTAATTAAAAATTATGCTTTTAGTTAGTAAAATATTTAATATTTTCATATCTACACTTTATGCTAATCGCTCATTATTGTTTTGAGAGGATATGTGTCGGGCCCTTCTGATGCTGAGTAGCTAAAGTAATAGTTCATACATAAGAGAGGGAGAGAGAAAGAGGAAGATAGACAGCTCGGTATTCACGGGATGCGTCAGTAATAGGTATTGTCAAGTCAGCGCGCTAGCGAGTCGACAAATGACTTCTGTATTCTGTCAGCGAAATGAATAACGCGGAGCTCGCCGTTACATATGGCGCGCGCGAACACTTGCCAAGATCAGCCGAAAAAGATGGTCCGCGCACTAACGCTTCGCGTCGCTCTCGGCATATTGAAAGGGACCGCGCGCTTTTACGTGAAAGGGAGATATATTACACGGGAAATCCGTGTTACCGAGCGCCGCATATCGAGCGCAAAAGTTGCCATCGTCAAAGGACTGTTGCGAGCAACTACCACGTGGTATCTGGCCTGAAGAGAGAACATTCCCTCTGCTGTTTCCCCAACTCTTCCCTTAACCATCCCGGAAAACGTATCGTTCCTAATACTCGACCATTTTGGGTACCATTACGTTCTGACGTGTGTCAATACATATCAAATATATTGGCATTTTCGAAGCAAAAATATATATTTTAAATTGATCGAAAAATTTATATTAATAAAAGGAAAATGTCAATAAAAAATCAATATAACCATAATTGACAATAAAATATTTTATGCATGTTCCACCTCAGCACTTCAAATTATTCTTTTAGAGAAATATCTGTGAGAAGCGGAAAAATATAAATTCAAAATTATTTCAAATGAGAAAGAATTCTAGATTTGCGTCCTTTTGTCTTCTAAAGATCGATTCCGAGCTCACTACTTATATTAACATACTTCTTATTTTTTAAGCGAATAATATGCTTTTTTCTACATTTTTTCGCGATAAAGGTTACGTTTAAATAGATCGTTTAAGCGAAAAAAGGGAGGAATTCAAATCAGTACGGAATCGCGACGAACATTTCCCGTTCCGTGTTAACGTCCGCTCTCAAATCGTTCTCGAAGGCAGGCGTCGCGTAACAATACCCGATAAAAATCGATTAAACTGAAAACAACGGCATTGCTTCAATCCAATTCGCGTATGCTAATGGGATCTAATCCTCTTGTCTTTCTCGCCCAATGTAAAATCCTCCGATAATTTCACGTTATCTAGAATAATTTGCTATTACGTAGCGTCGCGTGTTTAACCGATTTCATTCCAAATGACTTTCACACCGCGATATCGTCTACAAGCTTCGTCGAAAGTAGTCACGAATTGTCGATTTAGAAAATTGTTATACTTTTTTTTATTTCTCCACGAAAAATCTACTTTTATATGTATTTTGCCGCTTTTATCTTGATTTCTTCTTTCATGCATTAGGTAAAATATACATATAAGTGATCGTTTTTTTCACTCTACTTTCCACCAACCACTAATATAATTTTCCGATTTTTTAAACTTATTCTATTACTGTGCTATCGACAAGAATTACCCAACATATAATTATTTATGTAACTAATTTGTCATAAAGCATCACGAAAATATCATGAAAATGTTATTTTGCCGGTTAAAAGTTGGCAAAATTAATTAATAAAATTGTTATAAAATACTTTAAAATCTTATTTGTGCTTGCACTATAAACGTATACGAAATTTTTCTCTTACGAAAGTTGGCGAGAAAATCAATTAGCCAACAAAACTATCGCGTATGTATACATTTAATTACGTCCAAGCGTGGATAAAAGTTTCTCTTATTACATTCGAATTAAAGTCCAGTTCGAGTCAGAGCCAGTAGAGCATATTTTCATTATGCTTCGTCCATTGCTTTTAAATTGCGGTCCAACTTTTCCCAGCGCAATCTTTAATAAAGATTCTCTCGGGTGTTTTTAATGTTTTACTTTTACGTCGCGTCAATAAGAAATTAAGAAGGGTGTTTATAGGAAAACACATTTTAAAGGATTTCAAAGTTATCTTGTTCTCATTATACGACGATTCTGTCATTTCGTATCCTGGGTATAAGAACCTTTCGATGTCTCTCGTTGCCCTGTAAAACGCGATCGAATGAGAAGATTTCGTGATAATCTACCTTCTTTCCAAGACGGCGGGTGGCTTGCGAGGAGTCGATGAAAGAACCGTATACGTGACGTTCGCTTTTATCTCTGCTTCCGCAAAAAAGGAAGAAAAAAGAAAATAACGCAGTCGGAATTTGCCGTTAGCATCACCGCCGCTGCTATCGAGAATATTTTAAATCACGTTCGGGATAATCGAATTCCACGCCGCGAGAAGACGCACTACGTTCACCCGAACGTAATTCACACTTTAACGGAGGTTTCGCACCCTTGTCCCCAGCGTTCTTTCTCTTTTTTTTTCGCTTTTTTTTCTTTTAACGCGCCATTCACGCATCGCTGCTACGGGACGATGCGAGCCTCCGATCTCGTAAAGAATGCAAAGGTTCCTCTGGGGAAGAGACCGGAGTGCGTCCTCTGAACCGTGACGTCCGTAAATTGTGCCGTCCATCCTGATTCCACGCTGCGGCGAGAAACACGCGATCATCTCATCTCCATCACCAATACGTCGCGTTCTGTATCTGCTACGTGCCGACATTCTAACCATATAGAGTCGACAGCACAGCTCGAAGGAATATCGATACTCGTTGGCTCTCGCCAGATATATTCTTTTCGTCAAAAATAAGTGTAGTTTTTAAAAGCTGAATTATTCATCAAAATGTTTTCTATTTTTTTTTTTTTTTTTTTTTTTTTTTGCGTTGTCGAACGAAAACATTCTCGTGATTAAAGAACGAATTAATCGCGGGAAGATGTATTATTTTTAATATATTTATGTATAATTGATAAAATTTTCTTTTTTCCTCTTGCTAACAAGCAGTGGGAAACACTGATTGTTCTAGATCCTCGTGTATTGAGATTGTCCAGTATTAGCGTGGATATTTGACATTGGTATGGATGTCAAACATCTATATCAATACACCAATGGTATTGATCTGGATGTTTGGCATTGCTCTGTATGCCTTAGCTATCCATGTTGTAAACGTTATTATGCCGTATCCCGTAGTCCAACGAAGAAAACATTGCCATTTATTCTACCGCATTCTGTTGACTTTCATCCGCAAAGTGCATAAAGCGTTCTGACAAATTTTGATGTAATCTCACAATGTGTTTTTGAAAATTCGATATCCATTCGGTATAAAAAATAGAAAATGGAAATGAAATGTAAAATATCAAAAACGAATCTCTGATTAATATTCGCGCGATTTAAACGTCATGTTGATAAGTGATTTTTAACGAAATGTGTCAGGCAAAATAAATAATAAGGAAATGAAATTTCACGATGAAGAAAGTAAGAGAATATGGATATCCGGCTCAAGACGCGCGAGTGCCAATTGTATTATCAAATAGATTCTCCAATGAGTAATATAATCTTCTGAAGAATGGACAGAGCGCGCTCGCGCGCGAGAGATTAGAGTGAGAAGTCTCTCTCACCATTTTATGATTCGAATATACGTATCAAAGCTCGAACGGATCCATATCCTCTCAACGCGCGGGCCGACGAACTCCGGTCGAGAGCGGTCGAATATCTCATCTCTTTCTCTACATCCACAAGTTCTCGCATTTCTCCCTTTCCTCTTTCTACCGCCCTTTCGGAAGTTCACGTCATCGGCTCGCACAAATGGATCTAGAAAAATGGCCATCGGATTTTCTATTATCCCGATAAACATCTCACCGATGATTCGAACGGTTTGTCAATAGCACGATGGATATAATACAGTCGAGATGTTCGACGAATCCTCTTTCGTAGTAAGTGAAAGGCAAATGCAATATCACACAGAGCGTTCCGGATTACATGTCCCTCAAGCACACGCTCAGCTTCTATCCTATTACAGGATCGAGAGAATTCAACTATCTAAGTTCACATATCTTTGTCATTGTCAAACGTAAGACGATTAGTGCCAATAGAAGAAACTTTGGAAATTATGCCGTAGGTGCTTATTATATTAACGCCAGGTAGAATCTTCTACATCCCGGCGAGAAATTCGCCAGATGATATATTCATGAATATTTTAAAGAGAATTTTCATTTTAATCGTACCGATTTAACCGTCCCGTCGTTATTATCATATTGCTTAGGTAATTGCGTATCGCAATTATCATATTTCGCGCGAATTAAAAATTTTTCGCCGATATATAAAATCCTGTCCCGCGGCGCGGACATTCATCGACGCTCGACGAGCGAGATAGCCGCGTCGGGAGGGTGAATTTTTATGGCAGAGCGGATATATATGGATACTTACAATTCATGTCCACGCGAACCGACGACGACAGCGGGATCGACCTATTGTTATTCGTGGCGTTGCAAGTCAGCACCGTGTGGACGTCGTCCCGGTTCAAATTTTGTATAACGATCTCGCTGCGTGTCACCCCGTTGCGCAGTGCCGTAGTCCGGTTGCTGACGAATTTGTCGTTGCGATACCAGGACACCGTCGGGGCCGGCTTACCTACGGAAATACATCAATTTCGTTTCAGCTCGCTGCGTGTCAGCCCGGCGGAAAAATTATCGCGTCCCGATATCGATGAAACGCGACGCTTCGCGGAGGTCTTTTCAGAGCGGATGCGCGTGTATAGAGATGCTCGAGTTTTAACAGAATTTATCGATATCTCTCTATTCGCTCGATAAACTCGCAACTATTGCGAGAGATACCTTGCCGTAGATTTAACAAGACGAAAGGGTATCGAGGTCAGTCGTCCCGATATTTTTTCAAACGCATACGAAATAATAATGTAATAATTATGGGACATAATTGACGTAAATAGTTAATCGACATGGAATATAAAATTAGTTTCTCATCGTGTATACACGTAGTGCTGTTAAACGATCAATTGCATTAACGGTCACAATAATATTCGATATTATTTATGCAGAAACTATCTGCATTATATGTGTAGTGTAGCCGAATAATTGTTTGTTGCGATATAATTGATGAGAAAATATACAATAAATTAATAAAGTTTAAGGCAAATATTTAATATTACATAGTTATTCCAATGTTCATCGATTGATCAACGCATTTACATATAAAATTGTTTAGCACTTTGAAATATTGATAACTTTTGCTTTAGAGAAGCATAATCCATGATATATTCCAAGATTATTTATATTTTATCATTAATCTCGGGATTATTAAATTATTCATTTATACATCTTTCACAAATCTGCAAAACAAAAGTTATTAACATTACAAAGTGCATAAAGACTTTATAACAATACTGTGTAATATTATTTTCGTAATATTCATCGTCGTGGACATCGTTCAACGTTATATAAACATCCCGCAATACAAACTCCCCGATTATTTATTCACAAATAACGATGTTTTGCACGGCACACAAATATTTACTTCGTATATGATATCATTTATAATATATTGTAATTAATGGCTATCATTTATATAAGAAATTAATGGATGTTAATGCACATATAATTAATATGTATTATAAGCATAAAATATGCATATTAGATACTGCGACACTCGTAAAATCAATTTAACATGCATGTACAATTTATATTGACCCTAGTTAAAGATAAGGTCAAAAGTAATGGTAATAATTATTTCAACGTTATTATATATCCCTATACGACGCGTTCACAAATAAAACCTTCAATTTTCACAGAAACAGAATACTGCTTAGCAAACAAAGACCGTGTCTGAATCATTCTCGCGTCGACAATGCACTATCGATATCGACTATATACAGCACGACGACACACACACACACACAAAACCCGCATTGCGGGACACAAAGAGTCATGCAGCTTTTCGAGATTGAAAAACCGTTGTCCCTGCATGCTATGCACACTCTATTTTTACGATACTCACCGCCATGGACGTCGCAGGAGAGTCGTAGATTGTCGCCCTCCAAATACGGCCCGACCGTCGAGGACCTCGTGGCTCCGTTCTCGTCGGCGATCGCGATCACGTGCGGCGGCACTGGAAACGAACACAGAAACACGTCGATATAGTTATCGTCGAAGAATATTCATGAGCGCGCGAGACTCGCCGGCTTGCGAGATGTGCGGATGTCCCTGGCGCGCGCCGCTACGCGACGCGCTGGAGCTGCACGGGCACGTCACACGAAAAGTCCGATAACACGAAATTGGTATTGGAAGATCGTGCCTGAGATATCGTGACGGCATTAAATTGAAATCTGAAATCAATATCGAGTCGCTCCGAGGTATAGGGTATACGTCGCGATGTATTTCTGACGAGCGTATGTATCGGCCGATGCGGTGTCGCTACTTCGGCTCTCCAAGTCGGATCCGGAAGTCGGGAATTGTTGCGCTATCAAATATATATTGGACGGACTGGCGAACGTGAAGTTTACGGGGAGAAAAGTTCAAATAATAATAAGAATGGGGGACGGTGCTCTCTTTCTCTTCGCATCCGCGGAAAAACCGGAATTTGCGGGAAAATCAGATGATGACGCTTATGTTGGAAAGTCGCTTGGCGAACGAAATTCCGCGGGCGACGTAATTGGAAAATTAAAATCTCAAAAATTATGCCGAAAGATCGCATTTGGAGAAACGCCGCTACGATTTTTCTCACTTTATTTTTCTTCCGGAAAAGCATTTCCCGCCGCATAAAAAATTATTTTGGTCTGCATTTCGAGTGGAGCGGCGTTTTATTTTTATTGCGCCTTCCTTCACATCATGGTATATCAAGAGCGACAGTCGGGAATTCTTGAAATCAAAAAGTAATTTGATGATAGACGCTTCCTTCAACTTGTATCGAGTACATTATTACTGTTAGTATATACTATGTATACATATAGTATATAAGAAAAAAGTCATATCTATCTCGATAATGTTATTTTAGAAATTTCAATTCTGCGCATGTGTGATAATATTAATTTTAATTATCTTAAATAGTTCTTTCTTTTACATTATAATAAAGTATATTTGACTTTAGAATGAAATTACTTTATTAATGCTTTCTTCTATAAACGTTTCGTATATATGTATATGTATATATATATGTATATACATATGTATACATACGAGAAATGCTTACAGAAAAGTGATACAGTTCTTCGTTATTCATTATTCACAAACAATAAATTAATCCGTAGATTGAATTCGCATGGTATCGATTTTCTGATTACTTATTGACAGATATAATATATTAGTTAATTAAGTATGTCTGATTGATCGATACGTTGAAATTGCATATATATATTTTTGAAGTATCTTAGATCTTTTTATTCCCCATTTGTCATGTACCGATTTCCGATTGCATTATTGTTTTATTGCATTTTCAATTTACACAGTGCTGTTAAATTAAAAGCAATTCAGATCAATTTTCTTATTTCTTAAAATTTAAATAAATAAAAAGATAAATCAATAAATATATATTTTTAACTTTATATATTTAATTCTAACTTATATTTAATTTTAACCTTTACATATTTATATATTTCTTTCAACTTAGAAAATATTTTCGGATACATTTCGAATAAAATAAGAAATCGTATTACATACATACACATTATAATCATCATAATTTCATAAATGAAGCAAGAGCTGGAATCGAACAGGCGTGTGAAACTTTTTTACGTTTTTAGATTCGTTGCTACAGATACCGCCGACTTTGCGAGTTCCCCTATTCCCTTCTCTCTCTCTCTCTCTCTTTCACGAGAATGTCTCCTTTCTCCCGTTCCCGTTCGTTCTGCATCTCCGTAATCCTGACAAATGGTATGCGGGAAGGCATCATTTATCGGTATTAGCCTTTGTAGTATTTGCAGTATCATAGTCCGCCGTGTAATACGTTACGTATCTCGATTGCCTCTCCGTTTCCTTAAGGAGAGGGAACATGATGCACTCGCGTCGATTCCTCGGTTGCGCGACCTCCTTTTTAAAGGCGAAGTCCCTTCGAAGCGAGGACGCCCCGGTTTTCAGTAGTCGAGGTCGACGCAACGCGCGACGCGACGCGACGCGGCACAGCGCGGCGCACCATTAATCCGCGACAGGTCTGACAGTGGCGCACCTGCACTACTGCCGTTATTTATTTCCGCGGAGAAACTGCCGCGGCTCTGCGCTCTATACTGAGACGAGAGAATTATCGTGCTTTAATGAAACCGATCCCCCCGGTAAAACTCAATTTATTATCCGACTCGCACGCGCTTTCACGTCCGACTTCGTGTCGGCCACTTTCTTCCCTTTAATTATCCACCGCGTTTAGCTAAAAGCTAACACCCTCGCAAGATCATTCCGGACCGCGCGATTCATTTTTCACACACGCATTTTATTTACTTCGTTTTATTTATTTCGACGAAATAAGCCGAGCTTCGATCCGACAGCGAAATGACGATGATTAAATTTGTTTCGCTCATTAGTGCGACGAGAGATTGTGATTAATACAGAAATAGATCTTGCATTAGTAAACTCGGTAGCCACCGGAACGATTAACGGGTGCAATGTTGCGCCATTAATATATATTCCCCTTTCTCCCTTTTCCAATTACTAAGACAGGACATAATTTTCTCAGAATTATGAACGTCAGCAGAGATATTTACGGTTATAATGATACAGTGCGCGCAGTTCTCTGGAAATATCCATATAATTCTGTGAAAGGGTCACGAAAAAAAAATTGATTTCGCATTATGTTTTTTTATCGTTTCTTGCGGTAGCAAAAATAAAAGCGGTATATTGTCATGATATTCTATTTTTAGTGAGCCATCCTCTGTATTTTACAAAATATGCTTTCCATCTACGTTACGTGTCTTAAATCGATCGACTTATTTGAAACGTGCTCTGTACACTTTGTGGTCGACTACGTTGCATATAGTTAGATCGCAAAGCTCACAGTTGATTATATGCAAAAGTTTCCGTAAAATACCAGGACGTGGAATTATTATAACAAAGTGTATATATTAAATATAATTTTGGAGTTGAATTTTGAAAGTAAACTCCACTTCTTTGACGTTCACGTACATGATGAAAGATTTTCATACAATATCAAAATTTAACTTTTACAAGCACCTCTTCTCTGATATTCATAACGCGCTTTTACATAATACATATAGAAACTTTTACATAAAATTCTATTTTGCAAATAACTAAAGTTAATTAAAAAATTAGACAATATATCCGTTTTCTTTTAACTATTTTTTTCTTCGTACTACGTTTTCACATATAAATAAATCCTGTCCTATTTTCATTCACATAACGTTAATATATACAATATATATATTTTATTTCCATTTGTAATTTTATATTACCGTTTTACATTTTTTACAATCGAGTTTTTTTATTTGACCTACAAAATTACCTGTTTTTTGCAATTTGCATCAATTCATATTTCCATTCCGCAATTCCGCTTGCTCGTACATACATATACTGTTCATCAGCAGGGGCATTTCATTCACGTACTTTGCGTATACCAACGCGGGGACTGGTCAGATTTATTGTTTATAAAGGCTCTTGATTTCGGGGACATCATCAGCATCGAGAGCGCGGAGCGTTTGGTGGGCAACCGGAAGTCCGAAACTGTTTTTCGTGATTAATACCGAGCTGGATGTGGGCGGCGTGCGAAAAGAGGGATAAAAAAGAGGCGAAGAGAACAGGCAGTAACGGACGACCGAGCCATCGGGTGGTAATTGTCGTGCCCGCAGTTACGCTGCGCTGGTTAATTTGAGTCGCCAAAAAGTTACTTCCGCCTTTTGCTCCCGGCGTGGCCATAAAAAAATTTTACTGCGGTTCGCGTGCTGGTGCGCAAATGAAGCCGTATCGATGTGCTAACGGCGACCGAGGGCGCTATAACGGTATGCGGGATTTGATTTCAGGCACGAACTTTACATTACCCATCGCCCACTCCAAGTTTCGCTCTGATAAACCGGCCTTTCGACGAAATAAAGTATGCGACTGCGGCAAGAAGTTTAAATCAAAATCGTTCGCGCTCTGTAAGTCATCGATGATATTCGATTATATAAGAGAACGACGTAATATTTTCTGCTTGGGTTTATAAATAAATAATTATAGCTACCGACGTGTTATGACATTAATCGTGCTGCTTGGATTGTCACGAGTAAAAGTTAATTGTAATTTAGATATACGTATGCAAGGATATACATATATAATATATGCCCGAAAATGATATATATATATTTCCAGTCTTCCCTTATAAATAATTTATATACAGTAATGTCTCATGCATATATTTTGACATCATCGTGTAAAGCTTTTATTGCGTACTTCTATCGGGATCAGCTTAACGAACCATTCTAAATTACCGTTGCAATTTCGCTTTTGTCATCGCATTCACTTCGGTCATCGAGCCATCGGTATGCATGGTATGCAACATGGCGCGATAAAGTTTCGTCACGGCGATTTTTTAATTTTCGATGTATGACAACAGGCCGATTAGACTGCTAGTTATATATATGGGCGATGTGTGAAATTGCGCCCATGATTGAAAAATATTTCCACAGGAAATACACAGGGGTATATTCATGAACAAAAGTACGCTTTTTATTCATAAAGCGGTGCGGCGGTAACTGCAAAAAAAAATAAAGTGTCTACCGATGTGCAAAAAAAAGAGAGAAAAAAGAATTGAGTGTACACGCGTGCACACCCAGACGAAAGAGAGCGTATATATGAATTCTAAAGGGGGCGGCCGTTCGTTCCGATTATTTTCGTCAATGCTGCGCCGATGAATAGGGTGATCCGATTCGTTCCGCTTTGGCGAACGCTCCGTGCTTTCGTCGCCTGCCGTCTCCATCCTATCTATATCACGCTTCTATTCTACATCTCGTCTCCTTCCCCTTTTTTCGCACGTGCCGAATCAAAACACGTTCGTTAATCCTGTGAGATGGAAAGCAACGGAGCGAAAATATAATGGATATATAGAGATCTCGGTGCGACACACTTGTGGCTGTTTCCGAAACGCATTTCAATAATGGCATTGCGATGATTATATACTCAGGAAAGCATAAC